GAGAACTTAGAGGCAGGAGCTGTCCAGCCAGGTGGTGCTGAAATGGCACACTAGCAGAGGTTTCCAAGCACTCGTAGGTGAGAGAGGACAAGGACCAGGAGGAAATGCCTTCTTCTGAAGGTTCCAGTCCTGGAGATACAAGACAAGCTCTGCTGCCCCACATCAGCTCAGAGATAGAAGATGCCAGACATCTCTAGAAGTTCATGCAAACCACGAGAAGCTGCTGCTTCTAGATGGGTCTGCCCTACTGAGTGTAACAATCAGGAAGATCAATCAGTCACTTCTCTGTTCCAGAAGCCAGTTTGAGTTGCAGGTGAAGAAGGGGCTTGGCCACAGGCAGATTCAGTAGAGTTCAAAGACAAGGTGCGAAGCTTACTGGCTGGCTCTGCAGAAACGTGAATTCAATGGGAGAAACAGCTCCAAATCACTACCCAGTAGACTCCATCAACTCTTTTTCTCTAATCATCTGTGGGAGTAGTTGTGATATATGAGGGCCTTGCCTGTAGGAAGACATGCTTTCCTATGTGAGTTCTTCCTCAAGTTTGTTGAGGGGTCTTGAGTAAAACACCTTGCTCAAGTCTCACATGCAAGGAAGGAATCTATGTGCTTAGCAGAAGGTCTAACCCAGAATGACCCCTCAGACACTGAATTCCTATACTCTACAGATCCATCCAGTACACGTCTATATGGGAAGAGAGATGGAAGAGGGAAGGTTGGGGGTGTAGATTGGACAATAGTAAGGACAGATGTTAGCAGAATAGAATTAGAATAACTACACATAAGCCCACATTATTTCTGTATTCAAGGAAGGCTGCTCAGTCTCTGTGAACCTCTGGGTTGTCATCTGTATGATGGGATAAGCACAGACTCTCTTGTACAATGTTAAGTGAAGATTAAATGAGATAAGGCAAATAGATTGTCTGAATCACAGCAAGCCTTGGGTAATGCTACCCTGTGATCTGAATTCCACCAGGCAGTGGAACCTCAGTTTTTCCCAGGAGATTGACCTATGAGATTGAGCTATGGGCTCGGGCATAGCCACAGTGACTTGGGAGTGGCAAAAGGCTTTGTCTGTTTCTGATAATAGGTGAGTGAGCTAGAGGTCCTTTAGCCTAGTGGGGGGAATTGTTCAATTGATTCTGACTACCTAGTATGCAAGAGGGCCAGGGAGTACACAAACTGTCTGCCTAGGGTGAAATCACTGGTTGGCAGGGGTAGTAGAGACTGCTCTAGATAGCAAGTCAGGTCTGGCAAGCCTTTCAAGTCCTGGTCTGGGTCTTCCAGTCAATCTCCTTATGCAAAGAATGAAAGAAAGAGACCTGCCCAGCCAGAGTGTCTGTGTCTTAATCTGTACAATGGAAGCATCTGTAGTTTGCTTTTAGAAATCAGGTTCAATAGGAATCACACAAAGTAGGAGGCATGTAAATGCATTGGGCTGGCATCCAGGATCTGCAGCCCCCTATCTTCCTGCCCTCCTGTTTCAGGGCCACATTTCTGTGGGTTTGTCAGACTCTAGCTCAGGCATTTCCTTATCATAGAAGCTTCGAATCTTGGTCCCCTCCTCTCAACTTGTGCACATCAAGATTCTCTGATTTCCCAGAAGTGTGTGTTCTCTATAGAGCCCACAGCACTACTGCACTACTCTTTAGGGGTATTATGATCAGTCTGATTTCTGATTCGTTCTCATCAGTGTTTCATCTCTCTCTAAGACAAATAAGGAAGAATACTGCAGTTGCCAACCTGTCATTGTGTGTGTGTGTGTGTGCACACTTGCACACCTTCACACGCATGCATGCAGTTAAGCCCCATGATGGTAGCACAGTGGAAAGAATGTAGGGTTTTGCAATGAATTCACTTCATCCTGCTGAATGCCCACGTGAAGTGACCTTGAACAAACTATTGACCTTTCCTGTCTCCGCTCCTTCCCTCGTCAAGATGAACTCAAAATATCCATGCAGGAAAGTTGCTGAAAGGACTGGCAAGACATGTACATCCGGCTACCTCTCCTTAGTCCTATTGTCAAATCTCCCTCCGGGCCCGGTTACAGCATTTAATGACTCATGGTAACGCTGTCATCAACATTCCATCACTGCTGACTTCTCTCTGGCTTGAAGGAAGTGCAGTGCAGAGCTGGCCACAGTGTAACTCCCTGGCAAGCACTCGCTAGTTCTTGCTGCCCCTGGTCAGGTGGGCTGGATTCTTAAGTCCTCTCTGGAAACCTATGCTCAGGCCTGGGAGGAGCCATGCATCTCCATTCCTTAGTGAGTGACCTTACTGCCAGTGTTCAGAGGCATGTTTGACCCAGGCTTAGAGACTCTGAGGACCTGGTCACTGCTGCAATCAGCTCTTCAACAGCTACACTAGGAACAGGAAATTTAGTTCACAATCAGGAGAAAATTAACTTCATCTTATTAGCAAACTGTGTGGGTGTTTTAACCTTCTAACATTAGAGGTGCAGAAAGCAAATAATCTTCAAAATGATATGAGAGGGGGTAGAGGGAGAGAGAAGAGTATGCTTACTGGTATTTTGCTACTAGACCTAGTTATGTGGTTCCCAACATCCCATGTTGGAACGTTAAGGTTCTTTTCAGTTATAGACCAAGAATGCCCTGTGACAAGGTGGGAAAAGCCAATCTGTGGAGCTAGGAACACAGACTCCATCTCTTATCGACTGTCACTGAACCATTTTATGCCATGGGTCTTCATTTCTAAAGTAGGGGCAGTGATTTGCTCTTCTCCCTGTTATTTTTTTCGGCAAAGATCAAATAACATATGTTGATGTTGGATAAATGATCATGCTTAGTGAACTCCAATGCGTTGTGGGGACTTTGGGTACCATTTAACACTCTGTTCTTACTACACACTCTGGAGGCCCGTCAGTGGAGGCCTCCCGGCCAGAACATCAGGCCCCTGTTGGAGCCTGTTCCCAGAGGACCCTCAGGCTCTGGTTGTCTTATCTGTTCTCTTCTCCTCTTGATCATTTGTGGAGCTTGTGAAAAATGTAAAATTCCAGATGTTCTGTCTGGGATACCCTGGCTGGGGGTAGGGTAGAGGGAAGAATCTAAACTTCTCATCAGCATCTAAAGTGTATCAAGTGATTCCAATATACACTAAAATATATAAACTGTGGGTTTAATGGTGTCCATCAAAACAGGGCTTGAGTACCTGTCTTATTCCAGGCTCACTGCATGAGTATCTCTGGTGTATGGTGAGCGTGGTGGTCTGTGAAAGGAGGTTGTTAAGTGTGAGGAGGTAGGCTAGCAGTTCCCTTTAGGGAAAGCACCCCTCCTTGGTTTATTTTGTCCAGTGGGCTAAGCCCTGGCTAGATATACATTGGCCATACCATAATACTCTAGAATAGGGCTGTCAGTGCTCAGGACAAAAGCCCGAAGTTGTTTAGAGAGGATACCTGGTCACTACAAGAAGTGGCAACTCCTGGAATGGGAGGGAACCATGGAGACGCATTGCTACTGCCCCGCTGCCCACCCCCGGCTTCCCCCAGAGTCTGGATTAAGGACAGGAGGGCCACTGTCCTCATCTACTTTCTTGATCTGAGCAAGTTGATACCACATGTTCAGAGCCTCTACCCAGTCATGCCAGTCATCCTCTTCTTCATTTCCTGAAGTGTCCGGGCACATTTATGCCAGTCAAGTCCCCCCGTAGATTTGAATTTCTGTCTCACCAGCCCCAGAGCAAATGGGTGTGAGTGCTCCAGGGCTGACAGGAGGCAGTGACCAAAAGTTGACTCAGCAGAGGTTGAGTGTCAGCCACGCCGGGGCTGCTGCGGAGGCTGGCTGCAGACAAGCTGGCCAACCCAGCAGGGGCACTCAGGGTCAGGTACAGAGCCATCTTGGCCGAGGGCATGCCTATAGGGTGTCCCTGCAAGGCTCAGCGGGTGTGGGATGTTGCTTCAACTGTGGCTCCACAGAGGGACCATAGATTGAGGGCCCAGCAGTGCAGCAGCTGCCCTGAGGACAGACAAAGGGTGGGGGTTGGGAGACATCTGAGCTCTGGCCATGCCAGGTCAGAGATGTAGGCTCCTTCTGTGTTCAAGGGAAAGCCTAGCCGAGGTCCCCAGCTCAGCCCACAACAGAGCATCAGCACCCTGGGAAGCCACATGGGACCCGTGGGCCAGGACCTGTCAAGGTCTGACCAGGCTGGTGCTCAGGCTGGGGCAGGTGGCACAGAGGCATGAAAGTGCCAGGCATTTCCCCCCTTTCTCCAGGCTTCCTTGACTCAGCCTGTCTTTGGCACACAGGGAAGGATGGGAGGAAGGATGGGAGGGGAAGGAGGAGGAGGGGAGCCACAGGGAGCCAATCACCCTGCATGCAAGCCTTTCTTCTGAGTGTGTCAGTGCATGAGAGCCAGCCAGTGTGTGAATCTGTGCATCGGCAGGGATTTCCATGACACAGAAGCAGCCAGATTAGAGAGAGGGTGGGGGGAAGAGAAAAGAACAAGAAAGGAAGACAAAATTGGAGGTAGGAGAGAAAGATGGTGAGGGAAGAGAGAGGAGAGAGAGGGAGAGAGAGAGAATAGGAAAGAACAAGAGAGGAGGAGAAAATTGGAGGGGGAGGGGGAGAGCTGAAAGGAGAGAGCAAAGGAGAACGAGCAGAGAGAGAGAGGGAGAGAGAGAGAGAGGCAGAGAGAGCAGGAGGGTGGGCAGAGCCGAGAGAGGGCTCGGAGGGGCTGGGTAAGGGCGGGAGCAAGAAGAGGCAGAGCCCAGGACGCAGACACCTGCAATCCAGGATCCCTGGGCACGAAAGGCTCCGAGTTCAGCGTGCACCCAGGCGCTTGGCTGAGAGGTGGTGCGGGGAGCAGGAGCGGGGGGCGGAGGTCCGTGGATCGGCTGCGCGCCCAGGTGCTCGCCCGGGCGGTGGCGGGGGTCCGGGGACCGGGGAGGCGGCAGCGCGCCCAGGTGCCTACCGAAGAGGAGGCGCAGGGCTGCGCGGTGGCCCCTGAGCGCCGGGACACCTGCCGGCGAGGGCGCGCGGGGCTCCGGCGGAGCCATGGCGCTCGGGGCCGGGGGTCGCCGGGCGGCGGCGCGGCGGAGCTGAGCGGGCGGCGGGCGGGCGGGCCGCGCCATGGCGGCGCGGGGTTGCGGGCCCTGATCGCCGGCGGCGGCGGCGGCGGCGGCGGGCGCGCACCATGAACTCGTGGGACGCGGGCCTGGCGGGGCTGCTGGTGGGCACCATGGGCGTCTCGCTGCTGTCCAACGCGCTGGTGCTGCTGTGCCTGCTGCACAGCGCCGACATCCGCCGCCAGGCGCCGGCGCTCTTCACGCTCAACCTCACGTGCGGGAACCTGCTGTGCACGGTGGTGAACATGCCGCTCACGCTGGCCGGCGTCGTGGCGCAGCGCCAGCCCGCCGGGGACCGCCTGTGCCGCCTGGCCGCCTTCCTCGACACCTTCCTGGCCGCCAACTCCATGCTCAGCATGGCCGCGCTCAGCATCGACCGCTGGGTGGCCGTGGTCTTCCCGCTGAGCTACCGCGCCAAGATGCGGCTGCGCGACGCCGCGCTCATGGTGGCCTACACGTGGCTGCACGCGCTCGCCTTCCCCGCCGCCGCGCTCGCCCTGTCCTGGCTCGGCTTCCACCAGCTCTACGCGTCCTGCACGCTGTGCAGCCGGCGGCCCGACGAGCGCCTGCGCTTCGCCGCCTTCACCGCCGCCTTCCACGCGCTCAGCTTCCTGCTCTCCTTCCTCGTGCTCTGCTTCACGTACCTCAAGGTGCTCAAGGTGGCCCGCTTCCACTGCAAGCGCATCGACGTGATCACCATGCAGACGCTCGTGCTGCTGGTGGACATCCACCCCAGGTGAGGCCTCCCTCCTCCCCAACCCTAAGGAGGAGGGAAGGGGGTCGTGGAGGAGTTCCATTGCGTCCTTGGAAACCCAGGGGGAGGACCTGGGCCAAGGCCGGGACTCGAGCGAGTGGGAAGGTGTGTAAGGCCCACGGCACGTCTGTCGGACCCATCCAGGATCAGAGTCGGAACTTGCCTGGCTTTGTGTCGCTCGTACCGTGTTGGTAGCTCCCTCTTGGAATGGTGCCTGAGTCCTAAGGCTTTGCCCACTGTGGAGGACCCCATCCAGGCACTGTTTGGATTCTGCCCCGAGAAAGGGCTGGAGCGGCCCTGAGGGGCATGAAGACCCCAGTGCAGCTCCTCTGGGGCTTTCCACTCTGGCATCGGGTATGCTTCTGTTTCCCTAGGCTGAGTGTATCTGGGCACTTGCCAGACGGTAGGCAGACAGCGGGCTTGGAGGGAATGGGTCTCCTGCTACCCCCTAGAGAGCACTGCCCAGTGTCTCCTGAGTGTTGAGCCCTGAGGCTAGCCTTCGGCCTGCAGGAGCCTCTCGGGGCTGAATCTCCATGCCCACCCAGCTGCTGTTTCTCAGAATGGTAAAGGAAGGCAGACCAGAGTGCCAGGGCCTGCTTGGAAACCCTGCAATCTCCAGGAGTCCCTTAGGGAAATGAGGGAATTCTTAGCTGGGCTGTCCTGAACTCACCTCGACTTTCCTCCAGAGACTAGGAAAGCAAGACTGTGGTGGGAGGCATGGCGGTGTCTTTGCAGGCTCTGTGGGTTCACATCCTGGGAAGGAAGACACCCCTCTGCTGCCTGGGACTCTTCCTGAGGGTGTCTAGAAGATGAGGCAGGCAGGAGGTTAGACCTCTCCACATGAGCAGAGCGCTGGATTCCAGGCAGATCACCCAGGTTCTAGGGTGTGCATTCCACCCCCCCACCCCACCCCATCCAGGGCCAAAGTGACAGACTGGAGGTGTCAGTCTGAGCAAGGGCTCCTTCTGAGATTTCCTATCAGGAACAATAAACAACAGTCCTTGAGCCACACCGTGCCTGCGCATAGAAGGCCATGGAGACACGTGTTCATTGTGCCCCTGCTCCGAGCAGCCATGTCTGATTACACGCTGGACCAATCTTCCTCCCACACAGTCTTCCCCATGGAATATAGAAATAGAGCATATAGAAAATGTGCATGCATCTGCTCACACTGCCCGTGTCTGCCTTGTTCATGCTCATTCCAGGAAACACTCCACAGTGCACACTTGCATAACTATTTCCCTTCCCATTGTCCTTCACTTTAGAACACTGAGCACTGCGACCGCTCGTGGAAAATGCAGAGAACTTGACTCAACTCGAGGACTTGAATCCTAGAAAGGGCCCTGTCACGGTGCATCTCCCGGGGGAGGAGAGAGTTCCCGAGGAGAGAATCGGTTCTTCTGTAGTACAAAACCCATGCCTGCTCTAAACTGCAAGAGAAGAGAGATGATGGCTTCTTTGTAGTCGGCGTAGGGTGTGGACTGGGCTCTGTGCTAGCAAATCCCTCTGGCTGGCTGACACTGTAGGATGCCTGTGGGGTTCAGGAACAAAGGCAACTGCTTTGCTATTATGCTGGCTCCTCCTCTCCCCCGCGACCCCTCTTGGGAGACCCTGACCTCCTCTAGACCCTATGCCAGTCCCATTGCACTGGGTCTTCTCAGAGCTGTCAGTCTCATTGGAGAGAGCAAAGGCTGCTGGGAAGAGAACACCCTCCCCATGAGTTCCAGCCGGTATCAAACCCCTGGGGTATGGAATGGTGGGTCTCCCAGTGAACACAACTTGTCCTTCCCAGAGGGCTCGGTCCCCACTAAGACCTCAGGGCCCCTCAGAGGGTCAGCCTGCCCACAGGAGACCCTGACAGCCAGTCCACTGGCTTCTGCCTTGCCAGTTCCAGGCTATTCTCTATACCTAACAGCTACAGGGCTGGCTCTGGGGCTGCCCCAACACCCTCAGCCTCCAGTGCAGGGCTTTCCTGTACTATGGAGGACAAGAGCCTCCCCATCCCCGGTCAACAGAAACCCAGCTTCCTCTTCCGGATAGCCAGAGCAACAGGTAGAGTTGTTTCCTGGGTTTCCTGGAAGGTTTTCTTGGCTGCCACACTGAGGCCCAGCATGGTGTTTATCAGGAAGCTTCTGTGAGGAAGTGCTCTGCTGTTCCTGAAGGATGTGACGTGCCTCCCCTGAACTATCAGGGAGCCTAAGTGCATCCCCCACTCCTGTTGTTCTGTGGTCATGACTACATTCATAAAGAAAGTTAGAGTTTCCAATATCCAGCACACACCTGGCCTTCTGGAGGACCACCGTCTATGGTGAAGTCCTGTCCAGCCACAGCTCCAGACCAGTTCTACAGAGACATCTCCTTGGTGCCAGGTATGGCCAAGCAGATGGGGCCTGGCTAGACTGCAGGTCCCCTGCTCTTCCCATTCCAGCCCAGAGTCAGGTGCACCAGCTCTGGTTGATGATTTCACAGAGGCGGGGGGGTTGATGAGGACTCCCCTTGAAGCAGCCCAGGGCTGCTGAGGCCTCCCTGCGTTCCCTGTGAGCATGTCTACAGGCCACTAGAAGCCTGCTCAGCCCTGGCTCTGCAGATATCAAAGGGTGGCACAGCATATGGAACCTGACTGTGCCTTGACTTTATAGGAGAGGAACCCCAGAAAGGGGTTAATTTAGCAGACGCTAGAATGTAGGTCAAACCCACATCACACCTAAGTTTATCCCTGAGATTTATATGTAGAGCAATAGGGCAAATAGAAGCTTGCAAACCGTATGTGTAAATGTTCAAAAGTTCTAAATTAAGCTTATAGCCTGTTAGGTGAAATCGTCTACCCTTCTATGTTGGCAAATGTAACATACCTTTATAACAACCTGCAGTGCATGAACCTGCAATGCATGGTTCCTTGGTGGGAAGACTGAGTGTCCTGCCTGCCTCTCCTGACCTGTCCCACCTCTCCCTGCCTGCCTCACCTCTTACCCTAGCACTACCCAGCACTGCAGGGGCTTCTCCTGCACCAGGTGCGCATTGTGGATGGCACAGCTATGTGTCAGGTACCTGCATTCCTCAGTCATACCATCCCTCAGGCCTTGAGCTGGAATGCAGCATCACATCTACTCTTGGGGGCATGGATTTTGAAATGTATTTTGAAAGTAGGAGCAAGATAATTTTGGGACGGGGGAAGAGATTCCATGTTTTACGTGAAAGCTTGATCTAGAATGGGAGGATGTGGGCTATGGGAGGGAAAACCCCGTAACCCTATGGAGTGTTCCTTTCTTAGAAGTGTGGGTCCTCACTTGCAGGAATCAGAAGAGGGACCACTCTTGCTAGAACTAAGGGAAGGACTGCTCACATCTGTGTCTCAGCACCAATCAGGGCTCTTCCCCACTGCTGGTCAGCTTATCCCTTGTCTTAAAAGCAAAAAACCAATGAGAGTCACTCTGGGAACACTCAAGCAGGGCTCCAGTTGGACTATAGTTATATGGGGTCATTCAGAACCCAGACCCAACACAGAGGGCAGGGAGATGTTCAAGGCCAGACATTCCAGCCCAGGTCACCATGTCAACTGACTTTTCAAACATCCCTAAAATTACCTCTCCTTTTGCCCTATTACTCAATGCTATTGGGTGTAGTTCTTTAATCTCCTGTGCCTTAATGCTGCGGAGCCTGTCTCCTTTGATCTTGATAAACTTTTGTCCTGTCAAAAAGATCTCCTAGAGGAGAACCTCCTCCACCCAGCCAACACACATGCCCCACATCCTGGCCAAGTTGCCTTAGAGGAGCTTTGGGCCTCCTACCCCTGCACTATGATTACACGGAGAGGATTACTTAGATGCCTACTTAGAGATTTTCTGGATGGTTCTGGGGGAACATCCAGTACCTGGGGTTAGGATATGGCCTGGTGCTGTCTTGAACTCCCTGTGAGATCTTGGATATGTCCTGAACTTTTCTGGTTCCCAGTATTCTCATATGCAGTGTAAAGTGACAGCTCACAGTGCTCCAAGATTTCAAGGAAGTGAGATTTGCAAAACTGTGATGGGAGAGAGATGAGAGCAAATTCTGTGGCATTTTGTGGCAAGTGCTTTCATGATGCTGTCATTCTGGTAGCTGGTGAGCTGTCTTAGAGCCATTTCAGACCAATCTCCCTTCCTACCAAGCTCCCTTCCTGGAGGTTATGATGAATGACTCTGACTGCAAGGAGGTAATGCACATGGCACCAGTCCTTAAGTGGCCTGGTTTCAGATCCTTCCCTCATCCTGGCTCACCGGCTACTAGGACAGAGGAGGATTCCTAGATGCATGACTGCTCTGTTGAAACCAGGATAGTCCCATGCAACAGAACTTTCAGTGTAAAACCAGGGACAGTCTCATATGACCAGGGACAAACTTCACAAACTTCCACCCTATTTTCTGCCAGTGCTGACCACCTGTGTGATCTTACTGCGATCTGGGAAAGTGACTGCACTGTATTCCTCACACTTCTCACTGCAAACCTGAGGGCACATGATGTTAACCCCAAGCTCACAGAAACATGGTGTGTGTTTCAAATAAACTAAATGCATGCATTCATGAGAACCCCCATCACAGAATCTAGCATGGCACAAATAGAGATTGAGGAAATGTAATAATATTGTTACTGTCAATGATTAGAAATCAGTTAGTAATATTGGTCATAAACAATACACTTTCAGCTAGTATGAAACCTGCTAATATCAAGTTCAAGTCAAGTTCTTAACTACAAATTCCTAGAAAGAGTCAAGAGGAAAAAAACATTGCTTCAAGAATTTCAGGATCATTTGATCCAAACTAATATGGAATTGTTTGTGTGTGTGATGGCAAATCAGAGTGAGAAGAGATTTAATTAAATATTAAAGCGACAGCTCTCCTGGGAGGAAGAGAGGCCCTGGTGTGAACTGTGCTCTTGGGTCTGGCTCATGAGTCTTCCCTCCTCTGATTGTTTTCATCAAACAGACCAGCTTGTTTTCCGAGGCAAATTGTAGCCCAGGCTGGATTCTGTCAAGCTCTCTGCACGACCTGAACAGCTCTCCCTACACTCTTTCCCCTGCTCAATTGTAGAGTCCTGTGAATTAGTTGCACTATAAATAACTCATGCCTGCTTTGGGTGCTGTGAGACAGGGTACATAAACCTGGAGCTGAGGTTGTTTGTCTTCCTGGGCGCTCTCTCCTGTGCTCAGCATCTGTGAGCACATCTTTTTCACATGCATTTCCCTATCACTGCACTCTACAGGTGGCAAGAACACTGCTCTCAGCTGGCAGGGACACCTCAGTTTTCAGGAAGTCCTAAAACAGAGCAGTGGAAATCGAGTGTGGTTAGAAGCTTCTAGTTCCAACGTCCAGGCTGTTTCTCTGGTTCCATGAGGAAGTCTGCAAGCTTGGTCTCTGGTACAATCATGTGTCCAATGGTGACCCCAATATGGCATATTTAGTTCCAGGCAGGGATGAGGCAGAGGGGAGTAGGCTGGAAGCCCCATGCCATCTTGCACAAGAACTCAGGCTCCTCTGAGAAAAGGACTGGCTTTGAGTAACACAGACTCAGCTCAGATCCTGCATCCACTTGCAAGCTGCCCACAGAGCTTGTGGTCTTCTTATAAAACTGGAAGCTGAAGCCCGCCTGCAGGGAGAGGCATCGATCTCTCAGGTCCTAGGGTGGTAAGATAAGAATTACAGGCACTTCTAACAGGGCAGCTCTGGGACCAGTGCAGAGGATCCACAAACAATACAAGGAGTGTATTTGTACTTAAGAACAGTTGCTCATTAATTGTTTTATAAGCTTTGAGCATAACCCCAAGCAGCTCTGTGCTTTGTGCACTTAATTCTCCTCATAGCCCTTTTATACATCACCAGATGCTGCCTACGAAAACGTAAATTGTGTAATGATATAAGACAGATGATGACCTTGAGATCATGTAGCTACAGCGCAAACGTGACCTCGGGCCTCTCTGGCTCCATAGGCAAATGCTCACACCAGGGACCACTGCTTGTGCTGCCCCGTAACACTCATAAGGACCCCGCCAGGCCCCCCAATGAATCATCTTCTCCCCTCTCTCATGCTCAGTGTTCGAGAGCGCTGTCTGGAGGAACAGAAGCGGCGGCGGCAGCGCGCCACCAAGAAGATCAGCACCTTCATAGGGACCTTCCTCGTGTGCTTTGCACCCTACGTCATCACCAGGTGAGCTGACCCGCAGGGAGGGGCCCCATGCGCTCTTCTTGAGGTGGGATGGGGGAGCGAGGTGAAACAAAGAGGACCATCCATATGTTTCTTCTTCAACCTCCCGTTCTTTATTGTTTATTCATCGTGAGTATTTTAACTGTACATACGTATGTACATGTATGTCATGTGTAATGATCAAATCAGCATAGTTAACATTCTAGCTCCTTAACATTTAAAGTTTTCTGTTAGCTTTTAACAAGTTTACATATTCATAGATATTGTGGCATTTCAATACATGTTTGTGATTTGTGTGGATTAAATCAGGGCACCTAGCATGCATCTTTATTACTCTGTTTGGAGCCTTCAAATTCCTCTCTTCTGGTTATTCCTGGCATGTGGAATGGACTGCTTTGACTGTGGTCCCCACACCAGGCTGTGGAGTTTGAGAAGTTACTCCTGTCTGCGTTTTGATGCCCATTATCCAACCTACCTCTATGAGCACTCCCCTTCTAGTGATCACTGTTATACATTGAGATCAACTTTTTTAGAGATCTATATATGAGAGCAAACATGTGGTATTTGTTTTTCTGTGCCTGACTTACTCCATGTAGCACGATATCCTTCGGTGCCATCCTTTATCTGCAAATGACAGGAGCAGATTCTTTCTATGGTTAAATGTATTCCATTGTGTATATGTTTCAATTTTCTCTGTCTGTTGTGGACCTCTATGTCGATTTCATCTTGGCTATGAGAAATAGTACAGCCCTAAACGAGGGCCTGCAGGTGTGTCTGTGGAATCTTCATTTCATTTCCTTTGGATATGTCCCCAGACGTAGGACATCTGTCTGAATCAGGGTCCATCTTCCATACTGTTCTCTATAGTCCGTTCTCTAACAGTCTTTTGGGTTCAATTCAGAATGGCAACAGTGTAAAAAGCACCCACTCAATTCCAGCCAGGTGATTCCATCCTCTGCCTCAGGCTTGAGACCTCAAGAGGCCTCAATGGGGAGGAAACGGGTGAAAAGGCAGAGGGAAGCATGGAGCAGTGCTCGGGTGTCATATCTGCTATGCAGTGGGCAGCCTGGCTCCTGCCCACCCCCACCCAGACCTCTGGGTCACCGCAGGGCACCTGCACACGAGCAAGGCGTGAGGTCTGTGTCCGGCCAGGTAGGGTCAGCTGTCCTATGGCTGGGTCTTCTGCCAGCACGGACCAGGTGCCGGAAGCCCATCACCCTCCTCCAGAGGGCCAGCCCCAGCCAGCCTCGGCTGCAGCTGCTTGATCCTGAGTACACTGTCAGGCCAGAGGCCAGCCGTTCCCCCATGCTAGTTTCAGCCAGAAAAAAGAAAAGTGTGTGTGTGTGTGTGTGTGTGTGTGTGTGTGTGTGTGTGTGTGTGTGTGTGTGTGTCCCAATCTCTTTTGTGGACTGGTAGGGAAAGCAAAAATCTTACTTTTTGTGATCTAAAGTGGTTTCAAAGTCTGCAAAGTAACTAACAAAGGGATTATGAAGGATCTTCCGTGTTCTGTCAGGAGATGAGGTGGGAACTCCTGTCGAATCTGAGAAGTGGCAGCTGAGGACGATTCTAGAAGGACATTCTCCCACACCCCCCCTCTCTCTCTCCCTTCTTCCCTCCCTCCCCCTTTCTCTCTAGGCATTTCTTAGTCTCTGCATCTCTCTCTCTCTTTTTCTGGGGAGCAGGAGAGAGAAGGAGAGGGGGGAGGAACAGCTCCGTGTCTCAGCCCCTTAGCCCTTAGCCACCCTCCTCATTGTGGGTCCTGGAGGTCGCCCTGCCTCACATGGAGTCATGGTGAGGGGCCCCAAGAGGAGTCCTCTTTTCTCCATGCAATTCCTTATACCGAGTCAGCCCGGCTCACGGAAACCTCGGCCCCAGCCCCCAGTTGTGCTTTCAGTCACCCAGGAGAACGGAGATCCTCTGTGCAGGGTCCCCCGCAGACTCGCAGACAGCGACCCTGGCTGCCTACGACACCCCTCCCCAGGCGTCCTGACCGCCTCCTGCCATGCGCAGAGGACATATGTCTATTTTGAACACAGGACCTGGGGCTCTCTGCAGGTCTCTGGATGACCTGTCCAGAGCAGTTCTAGAACTGTCCACCAGACCTCAGCACTATCAACATTTTGTGAGCAGATGGCTCTTTACGGTGTCGTGCTGGGCACTGTGGATACTGGACAGTCTCCCTGCCCTCCCCCTGGATGCCAGGAGTGCCTCTCCCCTTCCCAGCCTCTGGTTCTAATCACCAGACAAGTCTCCAGACATTGCCAGTGTTCCATGTAGAGCAGAACCATTCTGGATAAGAAGGACTGGTCAGGAGGCCAGAGCTGACATCCATCGAGGCTCTCTGTGGGACACAAAGCCACACACCCTATGACAGTACCTTGTCTTTGTGAAGAAAGTGCAGCTGGGTGATTAGCACAGATTGCAGCATGAATAACCTCAGATCCACTTCTGCTGTGCTATCTTGGCTCAGTTTCTTCACCTCTCTAGGCCTCCAGAAGGGAATATGGTGCCATGGATTAAATTAAAGGATGAAGAACACTGGGAATAGTGGCACAGGCCTGCCTGGGTGACTCCTCTGACTAGGGGACATCTCTGCCCTCCAGCTGAGCAGTGACACCCTTGTGAGCATGATAAATGTCACCAGAAAGGGGAAGAATAGAGTTGGGAAGGTGGCTCAGTGGTAGAGCGCTTGCCTCGCATGCATGAGGCCCTGGGTTCAATTCCTCAGCACCACATAAGCAGGAAAAAAGGCTGGAAGTGGCACTGTGGCTCAAGTGGTAGAGCACTAGCCTTGAGCTGAAGAGCTGAGGGACAGCACCCAGGCCAGAGTACAGACCACACAACTGACAAAAGGAAGGAAGGAAGGAAGGAAGGAAGGAAGGAAAGAAAGAAAGAAAGAAAGAAAGTGCCCAGGATGACACCTCACCGTAAAGAGCCATCTGCTCACAAAACGTTGATAGTGCTGAGGTCTAGTGGACAGTTCTAGAAGGAAGAATGAATGCCTCCACTCTGCTCTGGACAGGGCATCCAGAGCACACAGAGCACACAGAATACACAGAGCACCCCGCCCCCCCCCCAACTTCTAGACCCCACAGCAAGGGGAGCCTGAGCTCATGAGGTAAGCTGATCTGTCAGAGAAGAATAGGTAATGATTAGGTTTTTCTCTGGCTACAATCTCATTTCCCAGTGAAGTTTTCCTTCTCCGATCATAACTTGGTTGCCCCCACTAATGCGGAAGAAATAATGTTTCAGTAAAATTAATGGTCGGGTGCAGTTTGAGCCTTCAAATCATTCACCATTCCTCCTTCCAGCTCCCGAGTGGGATCTCCCTAGGCAGCTTCCCAAACACAAAACACGGCTGGGTGAAGCCACCCCACCCCACCCCCTGGGAGTCAGAAAGCTGAGGTGATTAGCACCCAGGTGGATCACAACACACCACTCGCTGAGCTCAGAGCTGAAATGACTGCTCCGTGGGCCGCCATGTCTGTGTGCTTCCACACACCCCTGCCTTGTGCCTTCTACATCGTCAGCAAGGCTGATGCCAGATGGCAGGGGGCAGTACCAGGAACTGGCAGGAAGAATTCAGACAGAGAGGGGCCTCGGATGTCACACCTGCCTCTCTTTGTTGATTGAAAGGACTCTGCCAGCAGGAAGGGCGTCCCTTCTTCTTGTTCCCCAAGGAAATGCATCAGCTCGATACTCTGACAGGGAAATGTTGCCAGTCTCATGTCTAGCCTTTCAATGGACCACTGGGCTCCTGAGATCCCTGGTGGAGAACATGAAGGTTATATAGTCACTCCTGTCCCTCAGTGATCACCTGATCGGCACCTGCCACTATCATCGCATCTTATACCACTGCAGCTCTTCCACAACACGAGAACTCGAGTCCTGGCCCGGGCTTGGAGAGGTGGGAACAGTTGTCCAAAGACTTCATGAGCAGTCGGGGCCAGGCCAATGGGTTAAGGTTGGCTTTAGGCTAATGGGCTATAACTGAGCCTTTGGGTCAAGCTGTGTCTCCACATCCCGGGGACCCGACTCCGGGAAACAAAGGGACGCCCCAGATACAGGATTCAGGTACATGAATACCTTGGCATGACTCCAGTCAGCACGCAGACTCCATGGGTAATGTCTCTCTCAGAAAAATGGTTTGTTCCTGCGGAGTCAACCCCCACGTCCCACCACCTGACCAGAAGCAGATCGTGTGGCTGCAGTAGGGTCCGAGAGGCCATTGGTGCTGGTGACTAGAGCCACTGATGACATGGTCAGCATGCACTAGCCGTGTGGCAGATGGCCTCGGAAAGACAGTTCATCTGTCTGCACTGACCCCATGGGACACCCGCTTCTGTGGCCAGGAAAACCACAGTGGGAAACACTTGCAAAGCTCTTGATCAGAGAGTGGCATCTTGGCTTTGTGGGCATTCCTGTGTCCTGAAAGCCCTGTGTCCTGTGTCCTGAAAGCCCTGGTTCAGCAGGACTCACTTCCTGGAGAGCGTGAGCGGCGCCAACCTGCCTGCTCTCACCTAGAGGCTCTGAGTTTTCTCTGAGCTAAAGATCACGTGCCCAGCGGCGGTTGTGAGCATCCAGTGTTTACAGCCATATATATTTACAAATAATTACGGTTGTCCTAAATCAGTGGCATCGGGCTTTGAGACTTTTGTGGTTCTAACAGCCTCATTCACGTAGCTTTTCAGAATAATGGGCATGGGAGAAGGGTTTAAGATATAGGTGGCTCCTGAATGCAAATAGTCTATTAATAAAATGACTTCCATTTCAGGATCTTGTGAATATTTAAAGCATGGGCTTATGACTTGCAGGTCAGAAGATATGCAGGCCAACTTCTCCAGATGTCTTGGGAATGGTCACACTGGCTTCCCAAGGGATGTTATGTGGTCTGAGTTGCATTTTGTACACAACTTTGTGTGTGTGTGTGTGTGTGAGAGAGAGAGAGAGAGAGAGAGAGAGAGAGAGAGAGAGAGAGAGAAAGAGAGACAGAGACAGAGACAGAGACAGAGAAATGTAGAAGGAGGAGAAAGGGGACAGGATAGAGGAGAGATGACATGCACAGAAGTTACGAAGAGGGAGCTTTCATTTGTTTATTTAAATTCAATGGTTGAGGGCTGGGAAGGTGGCTCAGTGGTAGAGTGCTTACCTTGCATGCATGAGGCCCTGGGTTCGATTCCTCAGCACCACATAAGCAGAAGAAAAAAAAAGCTGGAAGTGGCGCTGTGTCTCAAGTGGTAGAGCACTAGTCTTGAGCTGAAGAGCTGAGGGACAGCGCCCAGGCCCAGAGCTCAGGCCCCATGACTGGACCCCCCAAAAAAAAATTCAATGGTTGAGAGTAAAGGCATTCTTCTCTTCTGTGGAACCAAAAATGGAGCCAAGGAGCTTGTGGGGCAGATTGGGCCCAGGAAGACACTGTTCACTGCCTGCCGTAGCCCAAAGCTCAGACCCTGGTTCTTCCACATCCAGACTGCATGGCCTGACCACCAGGACTTTGCTTTCTGTCTCTATAATGGGGAGCATGGTGTCTGGGCAGCTGGTGTGACATGGGTAGTGAAGTGCAGAGTCCTGGGGGTCCAGGGCAGGTGCTGCTGCCCTCTCCCTGGACTTCCTTCCCCTGGCACACAGGCCACTCCATGCTTCAGCAGCTGCCCCCGGGTGGCAGATGTGTCCTACATTCCCCTAGACCAGAGGCTGCCAGGTGGGCGAGGGGCCAGTGTGGGTGGCTTCCTGTCTTGTCTGCCTGTAATCTAGTTACTTGAGAGGTTGACACAGAAAGGTCTTGCTTTGAGACCAACCCCAGGCAGAAAAGTTTACAAAAGTCCTTCTGGAAATGAGGGTGAGCAGCATGGCCTCAGCCTAGTGAGCATGGGGTACTGAGTTCAAATCTCCAGTACGTCTCTCCATGGGAGAGCCGCATGCTAAGACTGCCATTAGCAATACTGAGGAGACGAGGGATTTGGGAAACGTGTTTGGCACCGCATGGCAACAATGCATTGGCATTTGGCTATGTCATCATTCTTATTAAGTGTGAATTCTAAATTCAGGGTCTTTTAAAATTCATCAGTTCTTAAATATAGTTTTTTTTAAATGTACACACTTTTCCAAAGCCAGCAACTCCAGTTCCCATTCAAGCCTCTAAGGATAGAGAAGAAACTAGCCACCGTCACCATGGGGTCAAAGTGAAAGGGCAGAACGATCCTACAGAGGCGAGACTCCAGTGGTCCATTCAGCAGAGAGCCACTTGGTGGAGGATGCACTCAGCAGCTCCCGCCTCCTTCCTTCCGCCAGCCACCCCCTGGCTGTCCTCGCAGCCTCAGCCCACAGAAAACTCCAGGAACATAACTGAAGCCAGCAGCAGGGTTCCAGCTCAAGCTCCATTCTTTCTGTATCAGGCTTTCTCCCCAGCCAGCAACCCACCATACTGAGAGCCCCTCCCAGTCTTCTGTCAGAACTGCAGATGCCCCAGGTGGATAGGCAGGCACCAGGATCCCAGAGCAGAATATACATCTGTATTCACCTGGGCCTCTGACTTGCTGGGAGATGCTGGGCAGCTCTCTCCCCTCTCTGGGCCTCAAGTTCCCCATTTGCCAGTGAGGGAGGGAGAGAGGTGATTTGTGGTCTCCAAGTTCTCTCTCAGTTCTGTGGTTCTTTTCTACCTTGCATTAATGCTGTATAATGTCCAAATATGGCCAAGGGAGCTGGACAGACTAGGAAGGGACATGACTGGACAGGGGTACACTGAGGGTCTTATTTCCAGTGCTGGCCTCTTCCTGACCCGCCCCCCCAGACTGCACCTCTGAATGGGGAGGGGGGACAATGGATACAGGAGAACCCTAAGATCCATCCCCCTGGACATATGGGCTGACACTTCCCTTTTCCTCCCCACTGTGGGTGGTGGTCCACGTTAGAACTCCCTGAGGCCACCAGAACCCCAAGCCTTCCTGGCCAGCACATCTGTTCCTAAAGCAGGACGTGCTTCAGCAGGGCCTAATGTTTGCTCAAGGGTTCTCGGCCCTCCCTCTCACGCAGACTCCACAGGAGGCTGAGCCAGGACTGAAGCAGAGGCTAACGGGACTCACCCAGTGGACAGGGTCACAGAGATTTCTCATTCAACTACTCTGTTCTTCCTAAAAGACACGCAAGTCCAAGAAGTTGAAGATTTTCACCACAAAGCTGCAGCAGACCCTCAGCTATTGGCCCATTTCATAGTTAGCCGTGGGGTACAAGGTCGAGCTGACTTCGGTCCTGTATGAACAGCTGGCAGGCCACATGGCTGTGGGGACATTAGTTAGCCCCCAGGCATGTGAATTTACAGCTCTCACGTTGAGTGCACTTGTCTGTGCCTGGTAAACGTTGGCTGTCATCTCTGGCAGGGGTGTAAGCTCTTACTGTCCTTGCTATCTGAGAAGGGGGTCTCTGGACATGGAGCCTGACTAGAAAGCTGAGACTGGGGTGCAGACGGAGCCCTGGCCTGTGGTGGCTGCCCCTGAGTAACCCCCTTTCATCTCCCTGCAGGCTCGTGGAGCTCTTCTCCACGGCACCCATCGGCTCCCACTGGGGGGTGCTGTCCAAGTGCTTGGCCTACAGCAAGGCCGCATCCGACCCTTTCGTGTACTCCTTACTGCGACACCAGTACCGCAAGAGCTGCAAAGAGATTCTGAACAGGCTCCTCAAGAGACGCTCCATCCGCTCTGCGGGCCTCACAGGTGACTCGCACAGCCAGAACATTCTGCCGGTGTCTGAGTGAAGGACCATGCTCCTGCTGGAGTCTTGAGAATAGGAGGGCTGGGAAGGAGGAGGAGGGTGGATAGGGGAGGGGGCCCTCCTGAACAGACATCATCCTCCACCACCCTAGGGCCAGCCCATAGGGTTCTTGGACACATTTTGGGACCTGCTTCTTGGTTTCTCAAGGGCAGATGTTTGGACTGTCCCCACTGGTTACCAAAGGAAGGCCTTGGGCCTCTCTTTCTGAAAGGATTCTTTGAGCACCTAGACTCACCAAGAACTCCCCAGAGGATGACAGGCCATCCCTGTCGAGGATGTACAATGCCAGTGACAGAGATGCGGGACATTGACCTGTTTGCTAGTAACTGGATCTGGGGTTCTGTGATGGACAGCAGGGGCCTCCGTGGGACATTTCAGTCATGCCGGAAGTGAGGAGAGCGTTGGTCATTTGCCCCAGAGGAAACACGGTGATTCTTCTCCATTTGGTCCCGGTGGCTGCTTTAACCCAAATATTGTTCAGCTGGTTCCAAGTGAATCATGCTTCACTGGGCCCCTGGGGTTTTGCATCAAGGGGACTAGTTAGCAACTAGTGGCTACAGATTGCTACCCACTAGCTGTCTTCAGAGTGGTCACTTGGATTCAACTTTTGTCCCTTCCCCCACCAAAAAAAGCCCCAACAACTGTTTGTGTGCGTAGACAATCTTAGCATGAGAATGGTTTAAAAAGGCGTTGACCATGAAGTCACCGTCATTGGAATCATGTGTCATAATGGTTTTGCGGCCTGGGATGGGAAGAAGTGATCTCACCTCGTCCCGCATGTGCCGTGAGAGCTGACCCAAGCAGGGATCCAGAGTTCATTTCCAAGCACTGAGTTCCATTATTCTGAGTGGCTTAGTATCCTAGTTTCCATGGGTCTATCCACAGAAAGCAGTGGTTGCCCCAGATCATGCAGCAAGTGCCCCATGCCACTGATGAGAAAGTAAAATGATTAGAGAATATTGCAACTGTACATGCCAACCCACTAGCAGCCCGTCTTGATTTCTTAAAGCCCTAGATGAGTAGCTCCTGCCCTCTTCCCACCCCATTGTTACTTTCCATCGCAGATGGACTTGAGATTGCCCAGAGCTGCTGTTTCTCAGTCCTGTCAGTGAGTCTTCTGTATGAAAGTATAGGGAGCCAGAGAATCCGAGGATCAGAGGGGTCCGATTCATTCTAGCTTGGGAGTGGAGAGAGAGGGACCATCCTTGCACCAGGGGAGTCTGGTGGTTTTACCTGACAGGTGATCCCAGTACTTAAAGGCAGAGAAGCATCTGCTCGTCCGGTTGAAAAGATACTGTCTCATCAGCTCTTAGCTCCTCATTTAGAAAACAACACAACCAGACCTACTGTTTTCTGGTTTCCGTTTCCATGGAGACCAGCGTGGAGACAGATGCAGCATCTAGGAAGTGTTGACATCTCCCCGTAGCTGGCGGAGGTGTGCTCACACCTGCTCACACCTTCCACCAGAGGAAAGGAACCTGGGTATTCAGAGGGGTCCCTCAGGACACGTGCGTGGGCCTCTGCTCAAGCTTTCCTCAGCCAACCTTGGGTGTGTGTGGGGGGGGGGGGATCAACATACGTGTTAAGTTCTTTGAAATCAACCAGGATATCCCTTTTTCCCATCTGAGATTTGAGGCACCAAAGCAGCTCTGGTAGAAATTTTTGTAGACTATGAAAATCAACCAATGCCACAAATCAGGGCTTTTCCCCCAGAGAGCTGACGGCTGACATGAACTGTCTCACAGCGTACCACTGCCAGGCACGATTTTGTTACTGCACTAGGATTGCTCAGCTCACAGTTCATTCGGCCTCTCCAGTTCAAATCACAGCAGGCCCTCACTTTGGCTGCACTTTCCTGGTGACAAGCACCAAAAGTGCCACTGCTCTTGAAACCAAGCAGGGAACCCAAACAACCTGGACAAATGAGTCTAACAAGAGAATCCCCCCCCCCTTTCACACAAATACTCCTAAAGGAAAACAAGAAGTGCTCCCCACCCCCCCACCCCCGCCCCCGTGGGTGAAGTCAGTAGACAGCTAAAGGCAGCAGCGGATCCCAGTCCCTTAGCACTGGTGCGGAGGTGTGACGGCAGTGAGTCTTCTCTCTGCTTGATGCATGTAGGCAGCTCATGGAGCCTGTGGTACTGACCACATTCTCTTCTTCTTCTTTGCTAAGATCTGTCACCCAGAACACCACATATCCTGAAAGATGCATGCTGTCATTTTCATTAGCCCTAGCCCTCTAACACGGCTGAAATAAAATCCAATCAGACCCGTTATATTGGCATCATATAGACAAAATAAAACCCGCCAAACTCAAAACAGGTAAGTTTATTGATTGAGCATTTTCATGATCATTTGGACAAAGGCACCAAAACCCAAGGGGATCAGAGAGGCAAATTTACACCAATCCTGTTGCTGTTACCTTCCTACCCAAGTTTACATTCATCTCAATGGTGTAACACATGCACCCCTGACTCCATTATTTCCGGGTGAATTATCTACCTCATTTTTGTTTTTGGTAATTTAATTTTTCAAAAGTCACACCATTTTCTCAGGTATGAGGCAGAAACACCAAGACTTCAGCAGCCAAGTTAAGGGCCTGCAGTTCCCCTCTTCCCTTCTGCTGGTGAACGTGTTTGTGAAGCTTGAGGACCATTGCTTACAAGGAAGAGGCTTTCATTCCTGAGGACTCATTCTGAAGTCCGCACAGCGGGCTCAGGCCCTGCTCTGTCATGCTTTAACATTCATTGCCTTTTATCATCACGCTAGCTTTTCCTCAGGCCCTTTCTTGAAGGGGATTTCTGAGCCCTGGGAGCTCGGAGGACATAGTTCACTGAGGAGGGCCTGGCATTGGGTTTCGGTGTCTTGTGGCTAGCTCAGCCTCCCATAGACACCTCTGTGTGTTCTCTTAGGAGTCAGATAGGGCAGGAGAGGCTCAGAGATCTGTAATCTTCCAAGATGTGGCTCAGGCTCTCGTCACCCTGAGCAGTGAGCTCCGTTTCTTGTGAGCTCCGTTTTCATTTCCATGTGCCTTTCTTCCTGAGAGGAGATGGAAAGAATGGGGCCACGCATGCATCCTGGTTGTCACCCTCTCACATGCTTGGGTGCAGATGGACGTCGCTGCCTGGCTCTGAGGAAACAAAGCTGCACTCTGTTAGGATTTCACCTGAGCATAGGATAGACGAAATTGCTTGGTTTTACTGAACAGGTGACAGTAATTCCATGCATTAGTTTCATCCTCAGTGTGTCAGAGATCCATGGGTTAAAGCAATCTGCTCCTGACCAGTGGATCAGTAATTCTTTGACCTCTCCAGGGGTCTGACATAGGATGAGACCCTCACTTGTCTCCCTGAAAGTCTAGAAGCTTCTGTCTCTTAAGCTTCTCCATCCCCAAATGTCACCAAAGGAGATGTTGGAATATGGGTTCTGCCCCCCCCCCCCAACCATGGGTGTTTGTGAGGGGTCTTCATTCTACTCCCTTGGGGAAAATGAGCTTGAGATAGCTGGATGAACTAACTCTATGGGGAACCAGGTATTTCTAAGTTCTCCTTGTCCAGTTATCTTTCTCTAGGTCTTCAAAGAAAGAATCCCATCTCTAGCTTCATTAAAGGGCTGGGTCGTTTTGTTCTCAGAAGGACAGACTGCATCTTCATGAATGCCAAAAGCTTGTTTTTCGGAAGACGCTGCTGGCACAGCAGAGCTACTGCTCTTCTTTGCCTTCGAAGGCATCTACCAAGCAGCCCTGATCCTTCCTGGGGAGCCGGGGGGAGCACAGGAGGTACCGGGGGTGTTGGCAGATGAGGCTGGAGTTGGGACTCCTCATTAGAGAAAAGAAGCTGGCGTTCACGGGAGCCCCTGTGAGACCCTCCCTTGGGTCTCAGAACGCGCACTCTGCGGGCAGCCTGTGCCGTGGGAAGCTGTGGCATCTGCAGCTCTTCCTACCCAGACAAAAGCCTGTCCCACTCATTACAGCTTGTCCGTCTTCTCACTAGCCAGATACCTAGAAGTGAAGCCGGTTGAGTGGGCCAAGGAGAGATGGTTGTAGATGCCAGTCCCTGGGTGTGGGTGGTCTCTTGTGAGCTCCTCTTCTACCCCATACAAGGTCCTCTGGAGCAGCCCAGTAATGGCACAGTGCTCATAACAGCCCGGGTACACAGAGTGAACTATTTGAAGGGCCAGGCAGTGTTTCCATTGATCTTCACAATGACATCGGCGCTAAGTGCTTTCATCGCCTCCGCTTTACAAATCTCGGGAGATTTGTGGGTCCTGGGGCACCGATGTTGGAGTGCCAAGCAGAAAGGTAGGCTAGTCGTAGAGAGAAAAGTCCCAGCCCCGGGTAGGTCTAGTGGTTTACCCCTATCAGCATGCACTTTGCCTCACCCCCGCCCCCCCCCCCCGGCTTTCTCCGCTCTGTCAGTGTCTAGGGAGTCCTGAGAGCAGGAGCGCAGGGGATGTCTCACAAGCACTGGTCACCCGAGGGAACTCGACCCCGCTAACATTGTAGGTGTGGAGGACTCATTGTCAACTTGCATTTTCCTGAAAGTCTAGCTAGCGGCACTAGGAGCCCCAGTCTCCCCTCACTCACGTGAGGACTCTGATGTCAGCCCTGGGACCCTGGGCTGAGCGATGTGAGCAGAGGACAGGGGCCGCTTGGCTGTGTAGTTTCCTCTTAAAGATCCAAGGAAGTGTTTGTGGGAGACAAGAAGAGAAGGGAAGAAGAGCAATGGCATTTGTTCTCTTTTTAAATGACATGTATCATTAAAGGCACTGTTTATTCTTAAGGAACCATCCACAATTGGGTATAGTGGTGCCCTCCTGGAAGTCCAACCCCATGGGAGGCAGAGGCAGGAGGATCTCAAGTCTGAGGCCAGCTAGACTACATAGCAAGACCTTGTCTCAAAAAATAAAATAAAATGGAAAGGAAACCACTCCCACACAACCGCCAGGGCACAAGCTCTGAGTGTATCCTGAGTGGAAACAAAT